AACTGCCGAGGTGCTGCAGAAGTCTTGCGCCGCAAGGATGGCTGGAGATCTGCCTGGCTGTTCTCCAGTCTCTGAGGATGACAATTAAGGGCAAGTCTAAGATTAGAGCCTAAAATATAACAGCATTTCCCCAGAGTACTCTACCAGTTTCTAGTTCAGAGACTTCCTGAACTAGGTAAGTCCTTGTGCAGTTAGTAACCCTGAGCAGATTTCTTGTTCAGTCTCCCCTTGAGTCTTGTAAGCTTCTGAGAGTCATAACATCCTGTGGTGAGGAGTTCCCACAGACTGCATGATGTGAAGAACCACTTCCATGCGCCATTTGCAGCCTGCCACAGCTGGCTTTTTCAGTGACCCTCACTCTTGTGCTGGAGGAGCTGGTGGATGCAGCTGATTCCTAGATGCCCTCTTCAGCCGTCCTGCAAGTCTCTGAGTTGCACCATACCTTCTGCAGTTTTAATCTGTTTCAGGGAGGAAGACCAGAACTGTACGTGGTAGTCAAAAATGCAGTAGATCCATACATTTGCATAGTGCCATAGTGATTTTCTGGTGTTTTTCTACTCCCCTCTTAACTTCTATCATTTATTTTGGCTGCAGCTGAATATTAAGCCAATACACCATGAAACTACCTACTGTGCTACCAGAAACACCTCCATCATGTCAGCTAAGCCTTTGAGTGGTTACTGAGTTATATTTACCAAGTACAGTGACACTAACATAAGGAATGTCAGTGAGCTTTATATAGGGAAGCATTTTTTTAAAGACAAACCAAACCTATAATCACAGAGATAAAATTATAAGAAGCAGTTTATAGATGTATGTAGTAAAGGCATTTAACTTTACAGTTTTGGCTCATTTTATTCAAGACCAGGCAGTTGCCCTAAATTCATACCTTAAAAACTGCAGTATTACCCTTTAAATGTAGTGATTCAACATATTAATAATCCTGCAAAAAATAAATTGTTTACATGAATGAAATGAAATTGTAACTTTGGAAGAAGTCCTGAGGAATTTTCAGACAGATGGAGTTAAATACTTTTTTCAAAAGCACTTTCTCTAAATCTTCTATCTCATAAACGCACAAAAATAAAAATGGTCTTGTAAATTCATTTCCAGCAAGAGTTTGCTTGATCATTTTCAATATTTGTTCCAGCTCTTTGCTGTTATCGTCACAGTCGCAGGGAGGAGGCAGCACACAATGCAGAATTCATATGAACAGTTCTTTAAAAGTTTCTTGCATACAACAATGCAAACTTAACCTGTATAGACAAAAATACTTTTCCAGACCATAAGTCTGTGTGTTACACCATTGTAAAAAGAGAACGTCATATGATCCTTCCTTTTGTAAATTAATGTGTACTATGATTTTAAAAAACACTTGTAATCAAGTACTATTAATACTTCTCTTAGTCACAAGTATACTAGTAATCTGAGAGTTTTTGTAACCTTCATTTCATTGTCTGTCGGTAGTTATGCCTGTCCTACTACATGACCTAAATTATTGTTGCTAAATTTTATAATGGGCTCCATAATTTAGAACAGTACTTACGACAGTGCAGGAAGGTAATAGTTGCCTATGATGGCAAAAGTTATTTCTGTATAATTGGATCTTATTATATTAACCATTTGTCTTTCATTTTTATATACATTTGCTGTTTGCTTATTAATTTTATCTGTGTTTATCCTTATAATTGAGATGAACTTTTGATGTGCTAAGGCATTTTAGGAATTTTGTTTTAAACGGTAAAATATGTGCAAATCTACCAGTGCCATGAGGAAAACAGATTTTTTTAAAATAATAATCTCTGTTCATCACACTGTCATGTTAGCAGTGAACATAAAACTCAATCTCTACTTAGTCATTCAGTGTATTCATAAACTCTGGCCTTCTTTACATGCTAAGCAGTTCACGGAGGTAGATTAATTTTAGCATGAGTAGACAAAAGCCGTAACATACAAGGGAAATTATCAACTCTGTGTACGCAGGTATAGTCCACATCTGTGCATACACTCCAGTGTGATTAATGATACTGGAATCCTCAGCGACTGCAGATGTATAGAGGGTGGGTATGGGCGGCCAGGATGGCTGGGGCGATGTGCTGTCGCATTCACGAGCAGAGTTTTGCTTCCAGCTGTATGGCCTCACCCCTTTCCTGTGCTGCCTTTGGTGCTTCTCCGCCCTTTGCTGAGGTGTATCCTGGCATCTTCAGTTTCTCATTAGGATGAGAAAAGTAATGTTTACTTTGATGCAGAATTTGCATTATTGAGACAATAATCTTGCCATGGGAGATAGATTTTCAGTTACCAAGCATCAGCCTGTTTCAGCACTTCGCTCAGGGTTTAAGTTACCCTCCAAAGTGTAAGGCTATTGAGACTAGTGGCAGAGCTAAGAAATATTTGAGTGATTTTTAGTAGCACATGTCCATACTAAGAAAAAAAAAAAAAAAAAACACCCTGAGAACTTTCTTCCTAGGTTTATTATTAGGGCTTTAAAACAAAACAAAAAACTGAGGGACTTTTGCTCTTTTTTCATGAAAATGTAGTTTTAGAAACAATTAAAATTAAGTAGAATTACATACTTAATATCTATTATTTATTGCTTACCTAAGGAATACAAATGAAGCAGTAACTTTAAAATTATGCAAACTAGCCACTAAATCCCACCAAGCGTCATAGTTATAACCAGTAATGACTGTCTCAACAGAACAAACTATGTACTCATCAGGTATTTGGACTTTCAGCGTTACCGTTCATTTGTTCAGCAATGTGTGTAAACTCGGTGTGAGGTTTTTAGTCCAGAAACTAGATCAAATTCAAACCAAAGATTAGTAAGAAAGTCAGAAAGCAGAAAGCAAATTTTAATATATAAAAAGTAAAAGCAGTAGTTGTGCTGTATGTGACCCTGTGTTTCCTGTCATGTGGAAGTAGCAATAGATTCTGTTCAAAATTGGATGAGGAATTTGCTGCCCGCTGCCCTAGGATAAATCTGTTGATGAAGGCACACAACAAGGAAGCTGATACCACTCTTAAATTAAAAGGGATGATGCAGTGTATTAGCAACAGAAATAAAGATTTGGGACAGAGATGTGCCGAGTTTTGAAGGTGAAGACACTGATCGTACTTCATGAGCATTTACGTGGACATATGGTGTATTTTTCCTCATGTTCACCCACTTTGAAGCTGTGTTTATGAAGGATGCTAATTGAAAGATGCAAGCAGGTTTGTAACAGTGCTGGCATGTCATTTCACATTCTGTTTTCTGCCTGAAGCAATTTTCTTTTGGCTTTTATTTTTTTCCTGCAGCAGCTGAGTTAAAGTGATTTTTTCGTGTTACTGTATTATTCATGTTCATATGCAAAAATTCTTTGCATAATTATTTTTTTAAAGTCGCAGGGCTGTCCTTGGGTAGTTCTGTCTCTTTGCTTCAGACCAGTCATAATAATATATCCAAAATTGTTTTTGTATATGTGGGGAGGGAGGGGGTTCCGCTCAGGATCTTGTTTTCCTTAGGTTATTAGGTATTTGTTGCTGTCATTTTCCTTCACCATTGAAATTCTGCTTTCCATAAAATAAGTTCTCTTAGCTATATTATTATTCTTATTTTGGAAGGGAAAGCAAGATTTTGGTGTCCCTGCATGTGAGAATATAAGTCGGGGTGATGAAACAGCATCCCAGACTGCTCCCTGTCCCAGTAGGCGTGAGTGAAGCTCTGAGCAGATCCCGGCTGCGTTACACCCTGGGAGCGGTGGCTCCAGAAACGCCTCAGGAGGTGCCACTCTCCATCCAGCAGCACTTGCACTGCCGTTGCTCAATGAGCAGCTGCTGCCTTTTCTGTCTTCCAAATAATACCAAACAACACATATCTGTAATGGTAATAAGAATCAAATGATGGAAAAATAAAATTACTTGAATCTAAAGTGTTCTTTGGGCCCATGTTCTAGTCTTTTTCTTAGTATGGGGAAGGTGCTTGTATGCAGCTGCTGGGTGACTCTCACCTCTGGGTATGTTTTCTGTAGTGACAGTATTTCTTCTTCAGTTTCTTGTATGGATGACTTCAGCAGTGGTTCCGATAAGTCCAGTTTTGCGACAAGCAATGCAAGCTGACTTCTGTTCTCCTTCTTGTTGGGGTAAAAAAGCCTCTGTGAGTTTAGTTAGACTGCTTCCAGTACTCCAGCAATCCTTGAGTGCTAGTCCATGTGTGCAGAGTCAGGTTGCTGAGGGAACACGAATGCTTAATTTCTATCCACGTTTGTATATCAGATTTTAAAATTTCTAATGTTTCATCTTTTTTAGAAAGTGCTTATCAATAAGAATAAGTAAAATGTACAGTCCTGGTTTTGAGTCTAAGTACAATGAACCGTTTGAGACACAGTCCAAGAGGAAGCCAAATAACTCATTAAATACTTAATTATTCTGATATCCTTTAAGTTAATAACCTTACTTATGGCATGACAGTTCTGGTGGGTATAGACAGGTACGTTTGCTTCTAAAGACTTCCAGTAGTGAGGCCTCGCTACTAGTGACCCTTAAGAATTTTGAGAGGGAGAGTATTTCCAAAGGCTTGCTGTTGAATTTGCTCATCATGCGAGTGGATCTAACAGCTGGTCTGTTTAAATTATGGTAGAGATGAAACATTGTGCAATAAGACAGATCATTAATTCAGAAGAAAAAAAATTATACTAATATTGAAAGCTATTTTCTGATTTTATTCACGTTTTTAGACTGTATATTCAGGTCCTTTGCTGATCCAGCAGCAGAGTGACAGAATTTAATAAAACGACATTTGGGTAATATTTAATGCCATGTTTTGTATTAATTTGTTACTAGAGAAGTGGCAGTAGTGTGATGGTCTACTGTTAGTATGAGAGAGAATCTTACCAGAGTGGTGATTTCCTGTCTAGTAACTGTTTTTTTCTTTTTTTCTTTTTTTTTCTCCTTCTGGCATGTTCCTGACACTCCTACTTGCTTGTGGGAATGAATATTTTGATCCTTGTGAATTGTAGAGCCTATTGTGAAGAATGGCAGGCCTCCAACGTCTCACAGCATGCACTCATTTCTCCACCAATACACAGGATCTTTCAAGAAGCCCCCTTTACGGAGACCACATAGCGTCATAGGGGGCAGTCTCGGCTCTTTCATGGCAATGCCCAGAAATGGGAGCAGATTAGGTAATTTACTACCTTGTTTGTTTAAGTTCATTTTTTCTGTGAAGAATAATGTCTGTATTGATTCTTAGCAAGAGATACGGTTATTCTAATGCTTTAATAAATCTCTGAGAATGTAGTAGTCTTTTTCTAGGGTTGTTAGAGAAACTTGTTTTTAAGGTACTGACTGTCTTTTAAGATTTTCAGGAAGAAAGCAATTACAAGAAGACACAGAAGTCACCCCTGAATTTTTGAAAAGTGGCAAGTTTACAAAAGTTACAAAATACTCTTTCTTAATACTTTGCAAGAAACCTGTATGTCCATCTCAATTAAGCATTGGTGAGAACTACGTTAAATTGAATATGATAAAAATAGAGGATAATCATCTTATATGTGGAATTTAGAAGGAACTGCTGTATTACTTAGATTTTCATTATTATAAGAAAAAAATTGCTTTTTTTCAGTGATAAATTAAGGCCACTTGACTATAATTATCTTTTTGTTGTGGTCGCGAGCTGTATTTGTGGTTCTGTGGGGCAAATAACTTAGAAAATTTTTTTTCTTCTCCTTCAAGTAATTTGTCATGTTGCTGCCTCCAGTCCCCATTAATGTTTTACCCTGCTTTTATGTTATTTGAAATTATGCTTAATTAATTGATACTAGAAAATGAGAGCAAGTCACAGTTTAATTAGAATTTTATGAATTTTTCAGTCTTCTGCCCTCCTTTATAAGTGTGTGATAAACTGATCTCCTTCAAGATTAAGCTATGAGTCTTCAAGATAGTAGTCAAAGCACTTATATCCTCCTCTGCTGTAAGTGCTGTATCACTCATCATGTTCAAAACCTTACCTTTTTACTGCTTGTGCTACCATTCAAGCTGAAAAAAAGAATTCTGTCCTCTTGAATGGACTTTAGCAGCTGTTATCAGAGAAGAAAACAGATTTTAGTGTGCACACTTCGGCTACCACATCAATTCCTGATTTCACTCACGTCCTATATACTATTTTTTTTTTCTTTTTTTGCCTAGCCAAGCTTTGCTTAAGTTGCCAAGAATCTAACAAGAAGACAAAGTTTTTTTAAAAAAATTGTGAACTTAAAGAAATCCCTGGTTAGGAATATTTAGTCTTTTATGGATTGTTTGTCTAATCAGATGTATATAAACTGTGTACAGGAACAGCAGAGATGTATACTTCTGTACTCTTGTTCTTGTGCGCTGCCTTTAAAAAAAATCTATAGCATTTTTAAATGTAAATTTACCAATAACTCTTCAAAACTTCACTATGAACTTCAAATGAGCTTTGCGAAAGCAAAATTCATAAACAGTTTTTGTTTTTTTGAAATGATTTTCCAGTTTTCTTAAAGCTTTATTTTTCACCTGGAAAAAAAAAAACATTAACATATAAGTATTGCAGAAGAATGCCATTAGTTTTATTTTTCTCAGGTGATCAAGTTTTATAGACAACCAAGTGTTTAAATAGCACTCATGATTTTAATATGTTAGTCTGTAGGAAGTGTTATAATAACATATTTTAAATAGCCAGAGATTGCTGTAGAATTTGTAGTTTCACTGAAGTAGTATGGAATAGATTTACTGAACATATACACATATATGTTAAACACCTCTTTTTGCTTTGAATGCAATGATGCCGTTAGGGATGCCATTTTTTTAACTACTCATTTGATGAAAATTTCTACTACTTGTACATGTTATCCAGTGGTAGATAACACAAGTACAAGCATATACCAGCATAATTACTAATGCTCTCTCTGCTCCTTCTTCACATCTTTCCTCCTTTTGTTCCTGCCATATGAGAATGATTATTACTCAGCAGGGTATTGAGGTTTTCTCTGTTGGGATAATGACATCAGAAATGAAATGGTTAAATATTCCACACTACATGAGACATTTTTTTTGCTTTGCTTTCTTCATTCACCCTCTTTTCTTACCACTTTTTCTTACCACTTTTTCCTCTATTCCAATGGTGAAAAAATGCTATCAGAGAGATATCCTTGAAATATCACAAAATAATTGCAGTTAAAGGATGGTTATTTGGTTAAAAAACAGATTAAAAATAAGACCTGCTACAGGTGCATCTTCATGCTGTTTGCTTTTGAATGAGATTATCAATTTAAAAAATTGGTTGAGAAGCCCAGGAGGGTTTTGGAGTTTTGTTTGTTTTCTGAGCACTGAACATGGGTTCCTGCTGTTGTAGTAATGTGTAAAATTCCAAAATATTTTTAAAAGAATTTCTACTTGGAAACATCTCTGTTAGCTTTAGGTTTTGTGAAATTTTTTGTAAAGACAAAAATTTTGAACTGATCTCTAAAAAGTGTGCCTTTGTTTAAAATTTTGTAGTCATTTTTAATGTAGTATTCAGTTATCGTGATGATTGTAAATAACGCAGATGACTGTCAGGCCAAATTGTGAATCAGCCATGTCACTGATGCAGATGAAGGTCTAGCTGAGTTTTTTTTAGTTCACGTATAGCTATACAGCTTCCGAAGTCTTGCACCTCCAGAAACATTTAGCCACTGCAGTCCATGAGGGAGCCAGAGCTAATAAATCCTTTTTGGACCTGACCTGGCTGAATGCAGAGCCAACTTAGTTGTCCTTGTTCCATATTTATATTGCTGGGAATACTGGAGAAGTGCTTGGAATATGCAAAGCCAGCACAGAGCTGAAGCTAACCCTCCTGGTGAACCTCTGTAGCAGCCAGGGTAGAGTTGATCCCTGCTTTTGCCAGTTGTGTTGATACAGTTATGGAGAGGCTTTGTTTCTTTGTCATAAATATTGGAATTGAAAGGAATGTTGTTTCCACACAGCTTTCATAGATTGGTAATGTTAACAGCAAAGGCAATTTCTCAATATTGCCTTCCTCAATTTGGATCATTACTAGTGAAACTAATCATAAAATTCAGCCACTTTATTGAAAAGTAAGCTTTGGAAAAGTGTGCCTTGGAAGGAATCCAATATGCCAGTCACGTGATCATTTTTCTAATAATTTGAAATAAGATGGAAAGATCATGCAGCCTGACTCGCTACTGACTAATTAGTGGATATTATTTTAGCTCACTCGGAGGAGTTCTTATTTGCTGTACTGTAGATTCCCTGTATGAATTTCTTCTGTGGTGCCTTCCCCACAGCTGAAATGAGGATAGCCTTTTCTTTTTCCATAGTTTTCCTGTTACATTGTAGTCATCTACAGCTTTTCATTACATGGCCATACTGGATAATGTAGAGTATGTTAAAGTAATCATCTGTTTAAGAGAATGGCTTGGGTATTCAGTGAAAGCAATTCAATAAATTATTGAACTATTAAAACCTCTGAAGACTATGCAAGCTGGCTTTGGTGCAGGTGAACTTGCCTATAGAAAAGCCTAGTGAAATTAAGGAAGTATTTGCATGATTTTCATCATTGCTTAATCAAGTATTATCATCATGCACCTGTGTAAAATGATTAAAATGACTAGGTTAATGCCTTATTCCTGGGTTTGTGCTATTAAAATAATGAACATAAGGCTCTACTAATGCCTTTTTAATTGAATAAAATAAAAGGACACATTTATATTAGATGATAACACAGTCAAGGTATTTTTAAAAAGCTTAGAAGTATCCCTATTTAGAATATAATTAAAACATCTGCAAACCCTTACAGATAGGAGCTGTTGGGTATTTAGCCCATCAGAAATTCAAGCATGTGCTTAATGACAGATTTTTGGATGCTACAGCCAGTATCCTGCTTAAAACGTTATGGGTATGTAGCTTATCCAGACTTACCAGAATTAATCACATCACATCAATATTCAAAATAGACTGACCATCATCTTATTTGAGTCTGAAATACTACATTTTTAGACTTGAGTGGTACAGACCCGCTTTGTCTTCTCTCATTCCTGATCTGTAAAGAGCAGAATCTCTTTGCAGCTACGTTATCTGCCCCAAAGGTATGGGTTTGTGTTACTAGTTCTTGAAATATTCCTTAGTTGTGTATTACTGCATAGTTGGTCTTTTCAGTAGAAGAATTATCTTTGTCAGCTAGGATGCTCTTTGTAGTTCTGAGTGTGGCATTTCGAAGTGTCGTTTTTTTACAGTCACTTCATAATACGTACGCTTTTGTGAATTGAATACTGTGCATTTTAAGATAAAAAGTATGACTATCAGTCCCGTGATCACTTTAATAAGTGTCAGTCTTTTTTAAAAAGAAATGATGTAATTGCTCCATGGCTTAGAATACAATAGTTCTTTAATTTCGTCAGTCTTATTTTGTGAGGTTGCCCAGATAACTGTCTCTTGTCTAGCTTCTCTAAAGAAAATAGACTTTGGGGCCCAGTCAATGGGCTTATACTAATATGAGAATAAATAAATTGGGGAACAAGTATCAATAGCTGTTACACTTAATTTTACAGACAGAATCTTGAGAGCTGTAATCGCTAAAATGGATTACATGACCTCTCAGAAAAGTGTTTTAGAAGAGAATCTTTACTGAAGAACTGATATGGTGAATGTGCTGTTTACCAGATACAACAATGCTGGCATAACAGCTTTGCTGCAAATAGTGTTTTCAATAATGCTTTTATATTACTAAAAATAATTTCCTGCAGTTTGTTAGAGATTTTTAAAAAGACAGCTATAAGTCACTACAGAGAATAAGAGAGACTTGGCAAAAAGGAGTCACATTTTGTCTGCTTAGCCCTAGGTTAAGGCTGATCTTTAGGGACTACTTTCTGAAAATCTTTTCCTCTGGTTCAAACTACAATGTCTTTAGAAGCACTGATGAGTATTTACCTTGTTTGAAACCAGAAGATTGCTTTTTATTATGCAAGGAGTGCAGCATATTTTTTTCTCGTCCAGTCCAAGTCTGAGCACAACTTGCAGGGAAAATTCTGATGCACTGTGGATTTTTAATCTAAATCCAATTTAGATCTGCATTGCTGCTGGAAAATTTCCTTTATGCATGAGATGTGTGCTTAGTTTGTGCGTTTAATTAAAGTACTTTGAGTTAAAATACGTACTGTCAGTGCCTTAAGAGTTAATCTTTTTCTATCCATTCTGTTTTCTGTAAAAGGAAATTCTTTGTACTGAGGAGGAATTTGATCCTTTGAAGTCTGCATGATTCTATGTGAGCCAAACTAGACAAACATTTTAGAAGATGTGTTGATACCCAAACATTGGCCTAAAGGCTTTATTTATAGAAAATCCAGCTTTCTTGCTTGTTGATAGTGATAAAACTTGTATGTTCTCTTTTGGTTTTTTATTGCTGTAATGCTGTGCAAATGCTAAATATTTTCATGTCTGTTGGTGGTAAGGCTGAATTGAGTTCTGTGAGTTTTGCTAATATTAGAATTTTTTAGGGGTAGAGTTCTGAGATTTTTAGTTGTTCTTCAGGTTCTCTTTTACCCTGTACAAGATCATACTTAATACCAAGAATCGGGAGAGGGCAGGGAAATTGGTGTCTTTTGAAACACCTCCTTTATATGTATAAGTATTTAATCTCTACAGTAATTTGGAGTTCAAATATTTCAGAGGTGATGACGGAGCATTACTCATAGTGAATGGCTTGTATGACCAGTTTCCCATTTTGTGTCCTTTTGCAAGTCATTTGGCTCTGTATGCTGATAATGACACCACCTTGATCTTCTCTTCATTCATTACAGTGTTTGTCCTCCGAAGTCTGGAAGATCCTGTGGTGCTTAAAAGTAATCATAGAATGGCTTGGGCTGGAAGGGACCTTAAAGATCATCTAACTCCAGCCCCCCTGCCATGGGCAGGGGCGCCACCCGCTAGACCAAGTTGCTCGGGGCCCTGTCCAACCTGGCCTTACGTATATGTAGATGTAATGTATGTGTATATACATAATATACATAAACTCTTGTGTGTGGATGAATCTACAGGATTGTGTTAAAAGTACCAGTTTCAGTTGACATGAAGATCCTGCAACATCATATAACTCAGGCAGTCTGTTACCTAAATTCCTCCATAAGGTCACAAATTTCACTTAATTGCTCCTAAATATCAGGTCCTCTGCTGAATCCATTTGTGTGTCGGAGGCCACTGTTTAGATGATCAGAATACATCCCCTTCCTCCGCACGTGCACACCAGTGGTTTTCCTGAAAATACTGTTTATACCTTTCAGGTTTTTATAAGCTTTCTGAAGATACATTTAGGTGGCTAACATCAGGTAGTCTGATTTGAAAATCTTAAATATTCTCAGTAATGTTTTATATCCAAGAGCAGCAAAAAGAGAAGAGGTATTGAAGGAGTTTGGGAACTGAAGCCGTGAAGGGAAGGTGGCTTATAGGAATTAAAATTGGGATTGGACTGTCCGTCTTTTGTTTTGGAAAATTGAGTTCTGCAAACCAAATAAGAAAAATAATGATAAAGTTTGTGTAGAAGGCCTATAAAGTAATCCTGTTCATTTTGTGATTTCTGAGCCAATAAAAAGTATATCAAAACTACCATGACTGTGATGAGTCTTTGCCATAAAACCCAATGCATGGTAATGATACAGTTGTTTCTCATCTGTACAAGAGAGAAGTTTGATGGAATACTGATGAACTGTTTCCAATTTTTTGGATTATTTTTAAGATATTGTTCATGAAAACCTGAAAATGGGGTCAGATGGTGAAAGCGACCAAGCTTCTGGAACGTCATCTGATGAAGTTCAGTCTCCCACAGGTGTTTGTCTCAGAAACCGGATACACAGACGAATCTCAATGGAGGTAATTTACTTTTCATGTAACGATCATTTAAATTGACAAGAGAGTTGAGGGTTCCTTTAGCTGTCTGTTATAACTGGTGGTCTTCTCAATTAACTGTAGCTGTTCTGACATATATTTTTTGCAGAGAGCATTATTTTAATATTACTTAAATTTCTGTCTCCATTTGTCACACAGAAATCAGGTGGTTATCTTGCATTGTTTATGAGCTGTTAATTTTGAAAATTAAATATGTTTTGAAACTTGGACTTTTGGGAAGAATTTAAGTGTAGCACTAGAATATGTAGCATTAGAATATCTTTCCGTCACATTCTGTGCAATTCACTGAGTATATTCAATAAGATACAATGTTTAGACATTTTTTACTTAAGATTGTTTTCTAATCTTTGTAAAACTAATGCTACAGCAGCGATGGTCCTGACTGCTTCAGCCTTTCCTTCTCTTCCTGTTTTTTAATGAACGGAACTTTACAGGATGGTAAACAAAAGGAGGAAAAGTACCTTATGAATAACTGTGCACATAATTTCCTTTATTTATGAGCCTCATTATGAATACTAGCCACCCTTGTGCTTGCTTTGTTGTCATTTCCCTTGGCGAAGAAAAATAGAACACTTCCCTGTTTCTTGAGTGTATAAAAGTTACAATTATAATGATGCCTTTGTTATAGAAGCATGTAAAATTTTGTAGTTGCTGCTTTATAGCATACATACCAGTATGCGTAGTTTGTAAGATTTTAAATCTTCATTCAAAGCCTGATATGGAATACAGGATTCGGGAAACAGATCTGGATAAGTTACAGTAGGGTGTATGTGCCAAAAATTTTTTATTTGTGAGGCGGTCTGTTATACTTGGAATTCCAAGACTCCAAGCATATAATGCTGGTATGATTCCAAGAACTTGTGAATTAGCTGTATTAATTATTTATATAATTTCTAGCACCTCGGGGGTTTTCTCTTCAAATTCCTAAATCTGTATGTTAATCTCAGGTTTGATCTAAAGAGTGTTAAAGTTGGACCATTTATTTGGGAGAACTAAGGTGGGTCTATTGATTTATGCAGGATGCTTAAATTAAGAAAAAGAAGTCTTTGTGAAAACTTGCACATCAGAATGTATGCTGGAGAAACTAAAAAGTCAAGGAAATTATTTAGAAGGATTATTTACTTTTTGCTCATTGTCTGTTTCCTCAGCATTTCGAAATGCGCATTTAGAACAGGAAAGAAATAAGGAAATTAATGATACATAATGAAATTAACAAACTGAAATGGAAATGTGTCAAGTCTTCCAGAGAGGGCTAAGAACCATTAAAGGATTCTCTTTTAGATGAGGATTCAAGAAACTCTAAAAGAAAACTCAGGAATAGTTATTAAAGTTCAGGAAATTGCTGTGTAATTTTTTCAGAAGGTGTCAAATAAAAGCATCTTTTCATTGGCCTCTTTAATTGTGAAACAGTTCTAATATTACTGTTTAAGAGGCTTTGGGAAGCTTTTATTTCAGTTTTGTTTATCCAGTGCTAATTTTCTCATTTTTCTCCAAATTCCAAGTGCTTGTTTCTGATTGTGGACATTAACATTATTTCTTCATTGACTGGCTCAGTCAATGAGGGCACTAATTTTTTGGCAGCTATTTTTGTATATTCTGTGAGAATTGTAATATTTCTCCCAAATCACTTCACTATTGATATGATGACTTTTCAAATAAGGTTTAAAGCTAATGTCTAGAACACTCTCACTTCTGAATTTTAAGAATGCTGTCATTGATAGATATTTTTGGTTGACTTAAGTTTACTTAGAAGTGCTTTGTAGCATACTAGGTGGGGTTTTTACCTGTTTGTGCATGCCAGAGGAAAAAAAAACTGTAACAATCTTTGTAGCTTTGTGCAAAATACCTTTCTAATCATAGTCTTTTCAGTTGACTTTCTCATTTCCTAAGTGAAAAGGCCTTAAGTGATTACATCATCTGCCTGTCTTTCTCTCCTCCTGTTTTTCCCGTGGGTCATTTTCTGTCAGTTTTCACAGATAGATAGAAATCTTAGATGCTGATTTTCTATTAATTTCTGTGAAAAAAGCTCTGCATGGGAAGAGATTGCTAATGCATCCACTGCTAGGAAAGATGCAGCCTTTATTAAACACCGCTGTTTCCACATATGAGTTGAGTCTCCAGATGTACATCCATAGAAAAACAGGTTTTACTGTTTTTTCTGTTCATGGAATGGGATTTCTTGCTTCCTCGGCCTTTGAGGGAACCAAATAAAGGTTTCCTCTTGTATCAAATCTTGCCTGCATGCCTTGGGTGATTTGTGCCATGGAGCTGGCTGGTTCAATAGTAGTAATTTGATTATATAAAGAGAAAGAAGCAATCTTTGTTGCAAAGTAAGTTTCTATTATTTCAGTTTTATTTTGCTGGTTTCTGGGGATCTGTCATCTCTAGACATCATTGGGTAGTCTGAGGCCATATTCCCTTTATAGTCATTTAGGATGAGTTACAGCTGTGTGCTATACATGCAGGTTGGAGTAAATTAGTATGTGTGTGATAGTATGTTTTTGCTGTAGTCTGCTGAAGTCATTAGTCACACTTGAAATCCATTGTAGAATGGATTTGGTTAAATATACAAAGTTGGATAAACTCAATAAACCAATATTCCTCGTTCCTCTGCATTAAGATAAATGTGCCTGTCACACTGTGACTATATCATTTTTTGTGGTTAGTTTGGCCAATATTCACTGTATTTGTAATATTTTTGTACATAATTTCTTGTTTATGTGTTTGATTCTCTTTGCTGAACTGACAGGAAGTCCTGATTTGGTTTGAAGGTAACTAATCAGGTAAAGCTGAATCTCTGGAACAATCCTTTTTGCTTGTAAGAACTTTGTGTGTATAACCAAATTTTTCATGCTCAGCTTGAGCTTCCTCTAGAATTCTGAAAATTAGCAGCCCATCAAAAAAAACCAACCATTTTTTAAAAAATGCTTGCTAAAAACATGCATGCTGTAAACAAAGTGCTAATTACCAATACTGAGTATTAGTATTCCTGGGATGTTTTGTACATTAGAATACACCTTTTGATCCTTAGGGTCCATCCCCACTGCAGTGAATCATATAATAAAGCTGCTTTCTCTGTAATTGTTAAATAATTCAGAGCTACAAATGAAATTGTAACATTGTCGAAGAGCAAACAGATTCTCTTGTCCAGAGGGTATGAAAGATTTTGTTGGGAAAGAAAACTTGATCTTTCTAAAATTTTCATATAGACATATCCTGGAAGATAGAACAGTGCAAAATAGACAATGGAATGCCACTAGAAAATGTGTTTGTTGTAGCAGAATCTCCATAGCAATAGAAAGCTGACATTTCATAACCTTAAGTTGACCTGGTTTAAATAGGAAATCATTATACTCCAATGCAACCTAAATATGAAGCATTTTAGATATGAAGCGGTGATACTGCAATGAGAAAGAATCCTGCTCCGCAGTGAAAAACCTGCTGGGGTGAAAACTTTCCATCCACAGTAGCAGCTATGGAGATACCAGCTTCCAATCTGTCATCTCCCCCAAATGACATAAAATTTAGGCCAGCAGACTGTTACAGACAGGGAGATGATACGCGTTTGCTTCTGAATTTGACAACACTGCAGTTATGGGACTGGATTTTTTTTTTTTTTTAAACGATTGTTCATTGTTATCGTGTGCTTAGAAAACAAAGAGTACATACCAGAATCTCATTGTGTTGCCTAGATAACATTTATTTTGCCTGTAATCCACAGGCTTCTAATGGTCCATAAAGAAGTCACTTTTTTTTTTTTTCTTTTCCTTCCCCTCATTCAGGAACCGTGCTGACAGTAGGTGTGAACATCTATTGTGTGAGGAATTTGGCTTCCAACAGCTGTTAGGTTTTAATTAAAATGTCTACCAATCTAATGCTAATATTAATGATTACTTAGTAAATCAGTAAAACTGTTTATCAGAACAAATGTATGGAATCATTTTTTTTCAAGTGCCAGAAGCAATACAGCCTAAGAATGAATACATGTGTGTCTGTATTTTAGCTGTAGGTGTTTTCATCATGTAATGAGAAACACTTCTCCAGATCATGGAGTTACAGCTTAAAGCATTTTCACTTTGATTCGCAGGAAAAGAAGACATGGGCAATAATGCATTAATACAGATTCATGTTTCAAGCCATAAGTGTTCACTGGGGGCCCTGTGCCCATGCACTGGATAGTGAATGCTTTATTAAGAACTGTGGTGGATAAAAAATAGGGAGATACCGTCTGTGCAAATTGAAACATCTGTTTCCCTTTCCCAGAAGTCCAAGGTCTGTAAGCTGTCTTCGTATGTGAACTGGCGGAGGGCCATAACCCACTGTTCACCCGCCTGTTTCCCAGATATTTTATCCTGAGAAACAGTTCTTACCCGTCCAACTGTCACATTAGTGACAGGAGCGTGTTCCAGATCAGGCTGCTCCTGCCACACTGCTATAGGGTATAATTCTCCCCTGGGAAGATTAGCTGCAGGGTTAGTGCTTTTAGCTGAACAGAGAGAAATGCAAGGGCTATGAAGTGATCCTGTAGTCATGTGTGCGTTGTACTGGTCACCTTCCGAAGGAAAGAACAGAGATAAGAAATAAGTTTTTGGTGAGCTCCACCCTTTACCAGGGGTGTGACTGCTTCAGGGGTCTTGACACAGCTCAAGTAAATCAATCTGTTGTTGGTCCAGCTGGACAAGCATACCTTCTCCAGAGAAAAACCCACAAAATTAATTGATGTTTCAACTGACGTAGTGCTAAGATTTTCTGTTTGTAGGCTTCAGAATAGAATGTGGTTTGTATGTCCCCATTCACATGTGCAGATAGAGCGCTCTTGGCTCCATTAAATTGTTTAAATTCTTTAACAGCAGACTGGATGGCAGTGCTGATCCAGGCTGTCGGTCAGAGGCAGCGCAATATTTTCTCCTGTCGTTAGTTTTGGAGGCAAGAAGCACTGTATCAAAGACAGCCTGAACTTTCAG